ACTGGGGATGTGCCCACAACCAAGGTACATGCCCTTGACCGGAATCGAACCCGGGACCCTTGAGTCTGCAGGCCGACGCTCTATCCACTGAGCCAAACCGGTTTCGGCATAAAATGTTCTATTTTTATTTATAATTCTTATTTATTAGGGTTCATTGTTTCAATTAGCTTTGTTTCCTGTGAAAAGTAACTCGTATGTATGCAAATACTTATTCAGATTACAAGATGTTAGATGTTGTACCAGGCAGATGCACATGCATCCTTTAAAGCATTGTCCATGACCAATTAATTATCTCTCCTTAAAGTTTACCACCTCCTGTTCTTGTGTGTGACTGTAGTTAGGTTTCTCTCCCTCTTTCTTAGTCTTAAGGTATACAACAAGGAAACCTCACCATAATTTTAATGTTCACTGGAATAATTGTCATTTTGCAAATATATTGCGTCTTCTTCATTTCTTCCCATGCCCCTTCTTATTCATATCTAGAACCATAAAATGTTCAAAAGCAAATGAACAGCTGTTTTGAAAAATGAATTTGTTGAAGGTCTATTTCTCTATCTCTTACCACGAGTGTGGTCCTCCACCCTTTTCCAGACCCTTGGGTAGCCAGTAGTTCTGATGTCTACTGTGTGCATTGAGATGGGTGAAATCCAGAGCACTGCCTTGAATTTCCAGGATGGTGCCTCTTCCTTATCCTTTCCTGTGTTGTGGGACCTGCCACTTAGAGTCAGTGTGGGGAGATGTCTCCAGGGCCTGTACTAAGGTATGCACTTAGAAATAGTCTGTCAGTTTTGCTACACTTGAAATTGTCGCAGAGGCTCCTTACACTATCTTCATTTTTTGGATTCTTTTTCTTTTTGCTGTTCTGAGTGGGTGTTTTTTGCTTTCTCATATTCTAAATCACTGATTTGATTCTCAGTGTTCTCTACTCTACTGTTAGTTCCTTATATATTATTCTTCATTTCAGTTAGTGCATCCTCCACTTTTCACTGGTCCTTTTTTATGTCGTTGATGTTCTCACTAAGTTCCTGGAAGTTCTCAGTAAGTTCCATGAAGTTCTCATTAAGTTTCTTGAGCATCCTTAAAACCATTGTTTTGAACTCCGTATTTGGTAGCTTGCTTGCTTACATTTCATTTAGTTGTTTTTCTGGAGATTTCTGCTATTTTTTCATCCGTCACATGTTTCTTTGACTCC